TCTGCTTCTCTTTCTTTTTCTACATATTTTATTTTATTTCATCCCTATTAGAATCAGACCAGAGCTCACATTACAAGTTGCGTCTTACCTACTCACCAGTATCCCTAAGCCTCTGGGGTTGGGGGTCAATGGGCTGGTCTTGGGCCTTTTATTTTTTGTTTTTTTTTTCTGTGTGGTTTTGTGTTTGTACTCTGTCTTCTTTGTGTTTTATGTTGTTGTACTCAAATGTTAGCAATAATGCAGTTCCTGGCATCTTTGTGCTCTATTGTGTGTTTTCTGGATCTGTTAGCCTGTACATCTTTCAATACATACATCTCTGTTAGAGATGTATTGCCTATTCACTTTGAGTCCATTTTTGTGAAGTCAAACCTGCATGAGAATAAGAATATAATTACTGGCAACATATACAGACTTCCGTCTGCACCTGCTGATTGATTGCATGGTTTCTTCCATAAATTCAATTAAGAACAGAAATGAATTGATTTTATTGGGTGACAAAAATTGGATTGATAAATCTTCTAAAGAAAAAAAATATCTTTGGAAATCTGAATCAACTCAATTAATCAGAGGGCCTACTCACATTACATCAACAAGTCAGTCATTATTAGACTGGATTTTAGTTACACATCTAAACAGATTTGTTAAAGCAGGAATCATGTTGGACTGTTTCAGTGATCATGCAATTGTATACTATATATGGAAAATTAAATTGCCCAAACTACCACCAAAATTTAAGATTAGACAGTGTAAGAAAATGGTTACAGATCATTTTTTAATGACTTACTCTCAATTAATTGGGATAGGTTTCAACTCATTCCAGATGTACATAATGCATGGGACTTTCTATGTTCTGAATTTATTACTGTTCTTGACAGACATGCTCCTTTTAAAACTTCTAAAGTCAAAGGAATGCATCTACCATGGATAACATCTGACTTAATCAGTACATTTAGACAAAGAGATCATGCGTGGGCCATATTTTGCAAAACCAAGGATCCAACTGATTGGGAAAATTATAGAAAATTAAGAAACACAAGCAAAACTATGACCAGGAATGCTAAATCAAGATACTATAGTGAATCCCTTGCTCAGGACTTTAAAAATCCCAAACAATTCTGGAGTAGACTTAAAAGTCTTATCAATATATCTAATAAAACCTCTCCCAGTAAACTTAAAATAAATGATACTATATTACATGACCCACTTCTAATTGCTCAAGCATTTAATAACCACTTCTCAGCAATATCCTCTCCTCTCCTCTCCTCTATCGACCAATTTCAATAATTTGTTCTGTTGCCAAAGTATTTGAAAAGATCATTTAAAATCAACTGTCACAGTATCTGAATAAGAACAATATCTTATCACCATCTCAGTCTGGCTCCCGATCAAATCATTCTACAGTCACTGCTTTGTTAAAATTTACAAATGACATTTTCTCTTCATCTAATAACAGTCATTTAACCAGTGCTATTTTCATTGATCTGACAAAAGCTTTGATTTGGTTGATCACTACTTGCTTTTAGATAAGCTTTACTCTGTTGGTCTGTCACGCAATGCTCTACTCTGGTTCAGTTCTTATCTCCATAACAGAAAACAATGTGTTATTATACAAGGATGTAAATCTGACACTTTAATTCAGCAACGAGGCGTGCCTCAAGGCTCAACTCTTGGTCCACTTCTGTTTTCTAGTTTTTGTTAATGACCTTCCCGCAATCTGTTCTGAATGTTGTATTCAGCTTTGTGCAGATGATGCAGTTATATATACATCCAAACCTAATTTATTACAGATAGAATCTGCTTTACAGTCTGATTTTGATAGACTACAACACTGGCTCACAACAAACAAATTACTACTCAATAAAACTAAATCTCATATCATGATTTTTGGGACACCTCAAAATATTAAACCTAAATTGGAAGGTCGTACATGTACTATCACCTGCCTTGATGGTCAGCGACTTGAGGGACTTTACAAACTATTGAGAAATGTACACATTTTTGGTTTTGCTCTTTTCACCTCTTTCAGTATCTGCATGAGACTATCTGTGCACTGAGCAGCTCATTCAGCAGCAGATTGCTGCACCCACACTGCAAAAAGGAGCGCTACCGCAGGTCATTCATCCCATCAGCTGTCAGACTCTTTAACAAGCAACATCTGAAGTAATGTAGCACTGTCATGTCTGCTGCATAACATTTTATAAATCATCACTGCTAAGACTCTGTGCAATTTACATAATCTGTGCAATATTCCACATATTCCACATCAACAAATATATTGTGTTTATATTGTAAATAGTCTTGTGTGTACAGTTTACAGTACAGTTTTCTTTATATATATTTTTTTTATCTATTTTTATTTTTATATATATATATATATATATATATACTGTATATACATATTTTCTATTTTTTAATCTTTTTTTTTTCATCTAAGTATACATTGTCAACCTCCATTTTCTGTCTGTGCTTTGAGCTGCTGTGACATGTGAATTTCCCAAGTGTGGGACTAATAAAGTTTATCTTATCTTATCTTTATGGGATATGGTTCTATGCTTCCAATAAGGAAGCTATAGCACAGTGGCAGCCGTGTCCTTAGAGGTTTCAGAGTGACTTAATGCAAAGAAAAACCAAAAACTTAGTGTAGTAACATGTTGTGCTTCTTCCCACCTCTGTGTGTGTGTGTGTGTGTGTGTGTGTGTGTGTGTGTGTCTCTCTCTCTCTCTCTCTCTCTCTCTCTCTCTCTCTCTCTCAGTGACAGGGTTTCCATACCCCAGCACAGGAGCAGCCGTGGCCTATAGAGGGGCCCATTTGAGGGGGAGGGGTCGCGCCGTCTACAACACATTCCGTGCTGCACCTCCCCCTCCACCCATTCCTGCCTATGGAGCGTGAGTGCCTGCTCACACACACACACACACACACACACACTCACGCACACATCCCACTGATACAAACACACATAATGATATGCACAAATGGAATTCACAGCAATACACGCACACATGCAGTAACAGAAGAAAGGCGAGTGGAAAACAAGAAGGCTTCTTTCTAATAGAGTGGAAAATTGCTCTTTGATTATAGAATGGCCGAATTTGTCTCTCTTTTTTCTAATGTGTCATTCTTTATTTGGCTGTGAATGTTCTTCTGTGACCTGCTTGGCACACTCCAACAGGCCCGCTCCAGAGAGAGCAAGAGACCTAGAGAAGGTGAAGGGTGAGAGATGGAGAGAGAGAGAGAGAGAGAGAGAGAGAGAGAGAGAAAGAGAATAGAGCTCTGAGAGAGCGTGTTAGGGCTGTAAGAAAAAAAAAGAGAAATGCAGATGGAGACAGAGAGAGTAAAGGCAGGGTGTTGAGAGAAGAATAATGGACGAATGGTGCAGAACGACCATATGGAACTACTGAATTAGTCATTTACTGTATGGTGGTACGACAATGAATATTTATTTTTAAACTTTAACTACTCAAAATGTTTTATTTTTAAAAGCAAATAATGAATGCTTCAAAAATAAAAGGTAATGCATATGCTGCTTGATTTGGATGTAGAGTTCAAACCTAGTGAAATGTGGCACTTGTGGTAAAATATCTGCTTATAGCTAACTATGAGTTCCTGCTATGATTGTTAGGGACAATTAAGATATTCTCAACTAAAACACCATGTTACTTTTATTTTACTTCAGTGCTTTTAAAAAAATTTTTTTTTTTTTTTACATCTTCTGTTAACAGTGTGGTCTACCAGGATGGCTTTTATGGAGCAGAAATATATGTAAGTCCCATTTATTTAAATGCATTTTTATTTCGTCTGCATGAATTTTTTCACTATGACCAATGAAGATGATGATTTCATACTGAATGGGGATGCACCGATTGATAGACTTAACACTGGCATTGGCTGATATTGGCCTTGTTGACTGCCATCAGCCTATCTGCAACTAAGAAGGCATTTACCAATTGCAGTGGCCGATGTTTTTCTGTTGTACTACATCAGTTTTGCGCACGACAAAGATCTTCCCCTGGACCCCTTCAGGATGAAAGGATACAGTAAACTCCAACACGTTCTCATCCAAAGTCATCTCATATTGCCGCTTGGTCAGTGGACTTCACTGACCAAGCAGTTGCTACATGTTATGCGCTAGGTATCCTCCTGCATCTGCTGTTCCAGGATGCCGCAACGTTAACAAAGGCATGTGGTTCGTACATACAAAAACATCTACATTTATACAGGAAGTGGACACTCGGCTTCCAGCTGAAAGTCCAGGGTTTGTTGGATCCTTCCACCACTCCTTCCACTTGCTCTGTAAGAACTTGCCAGCTCCTTATATTATGTCGTCACTGGCAGCGTTTTGATCTGTCACAGCATTGTGACAGGTTGCATCCATCCACGTTATGGACTGATGCCGTACAACCACGTATCATACTGCCGTGTCAACTTCAGCCTGTTACATGCATTGTCTGTTTTCAAAATACACTTCTGTTTTCACAGGAAATGTACAGCTTGCATATAGTCTCTGTCAAAATAAATGTACTACCTCAGTACAACACTGTGAATTGATATTTTTTTCCTTCAACAACACATGCACATGGTTGGGTTTAGGCAACAGAAGCACATGATTGTGTTTAGGAAAAAAGAATAGGGTTTGGCTTTACAGTCTTAGGGGAAGTGAACAGCAAGATTCCGGGTGAAAGTCAGTGGTTGTTGGACCCATCCACGATCCCTCCTACCCGCCCTACTCAGACTTCCGCTACCTTAACTTTCATTGTTGTCTGGCTGCGATTCCCCCTGACACCACTGGGCGCCGTTAAACAGTAACGGCGACCAGCCGCGTATCATGCTAACGTGAAAGGGCGGCTTTTTTTCGTCAGTGTCTGACGCTGGGACTCATTGCCCAAGTGCGGGTTTTTAATGACTTCAGAGTGAGACCAGGTTGCTGCAACGGGGGCCATCAGGCCAACTGTTGGTGTATCGTAACACGAAAGATCCTGTCCAGCCACGTTAACCACTGATACCGCCTGGCGGTGTATCTTACCGCCATTAAGGGTGGCCTTTGGTGTATGACACAGAATTCACTGAGAAAGCAGCAGTATTTGATGACTTTGGAATGAGAACATTCTGTTACCTCACCAGTGACACATCAGAGGACGCACCCTATTGTTTCCCTGCTTTATTGTGACGAACAAATCCAAGTTGAAATCAGTCAGAGGAGAGCTAGTTAATGTTAGCTTGTAGCTGTTATCTGTCAGCAGCCGGTGGCTGGAACTAACTGCTGACAGAGGTTACACTGAATTACATTATAATGCGTACAAACTGCATTTGGTAAAAATGAGAATTGGGCAAAGGTAAATTAAAACATTATAATGATGAGTTCAAATTTAACCTTGTAAAATGGAGTTTTTGGGGAGACACTTCAATAACTAGAGTGCCCCAGGAATGAGTCCTCAAAGCGGAAAACAAGATAGTATTGTGGCACTCTTGGTTCTCCTGTCTCAAAGTCAATGTTTTTCCTTTTTTTTTTATGGGTTTTTGGTTAGATGCCTGGAATAAGGTCTGTGGTTAACACAAGCTAAAGAGACTATCATGTTTTGTTCTACAACATAAAATAATACCCCACTGTGAGTTCTGAAGCTTTTGTGTGTCCTAAAAAAGGCAGTTGCTAACAATTGGCTAAATGAGACTACAGAACATCATCATGCTGAACACGGCTTTACAGCCTCATTGTGGCAACATTAAGATGTGTGACAGTGGTGTAGTTCGTTTATAGCCTAACACTGGCTTTTTACTTCTGGCAGTTGCATCTAGGCTTAAAAAATCATAAAAGAGATGTTCATTTATGAAGATTATCTTGCTGAACAAAACATGTAAGTATCATAAACGTTTGTTTGTCACCAAGCTTATTTACTGCAACTATCCAAATTCCAATGGAAAAATCACATAGGCTTTTTGACAAGGGAACCAGGGGATGCCAACTTCCATGGCAGCCTACAGAAAAATGTCATCCCTGGAGCACTCTAAACAGTTGTGTGGAGGAGCAATTTGTTGATTTTGTCACAGCAATACAAAATAGATATAAGAAAGGGTTAGTAAAAAGGCTTTTAAAGCCGTTTTTTGCCATGTGAAAGGAGGTTATTTTAAAGGTTGTTTTATAAAAATATGTATGATTGAATTTCTACTCCTTTGAAGGTAGTGTATTGAAGGACTGAACAGTTAAGTTATTTTTTACAGTGTAAATTTGTTTCTCTGACGCAAAAGGGGGACTAACTAACAATAAAAACAAGATAAACAACACCAAAAAAAAAAAAGAAAAAAGAAAGGTATCAGCTATCGGACAAATTTAAAACATTGGTATCAGCCCAGAATTTCACAGTCGGTGCATCCCTAGTACTGAGTGACTTGAGCATTTGATCCAAATTAGTTTGCATCTTTATTTTTGTGGATATTAAACTCCTACAGTTGAATTCCTCTGTCTCCCCTCAGGGAGGGTATGCTGCGTACAGATATGCCCAGCCAGCTGGGACTGCTGCAGCTGCATACAGTGACAGGTACGTTGGCTCATCACTTAGAGGTACTCTGTTTGCATTGGTTACACTGTAAATAACCATGATTACATTTAAAGTCAGCACTTCTCAAAGACTTTGTGTTTTCCAGTTTTAAAAAACAGAAATTTGCACGCATGTTTTGATGGACGGTAGCTTGGTTTAAAAAAAGAAATGTTTTTAATGAAAACAGGTAGCACAGGCACAGCAGGGGCAACAGGATCAGCTTATCTGTTTGAGCTAACTGGGCTCACTGAGCCTAACATTGGTGATCCTGCATAACTGCTGTCATGAAGCTGGTTATCAAGTGGCACTGTTTATTCTGGGCTTCTCAGTGAGTATGAGCCAAGTTATTAATTACAAACAACGTCATCAGAACCACCAGCAGCGTAGAGAATATGATATGATATGAAACAGCAATACTTGCATGGAGATTTGGTTATTGCTGCAGCAAAAAGTGAGGTGGAATCTATACAATAACTGCATTACTACAATAGAATAAGAAGATGTAGAAACAGCAGGGATCATTTCCAAATATTGACAGAAGCTATAAAGCTATAAATAAGTGTAATAAGTGTCTCAATAAATATGGTCAGCACTTTCAACATGTTCACCAGTCTAGAATGGAGAATGTGGTGAATTCATGTATTTTCCATAGTGACATTTTCGTGCAGACAGAAAAACCCCCATTGCCAGAAAAAAATGTTGCCACTACAATTTTGCAAATCATGCATACGTTAAATTTGCAAAGCATCAGCAGCTACATTGAAACTTTACATTTCAGTAACACTGTGTGGTTGTGGTTAGGTACAAAAAACACTTGTCTACCCTGTTTCAGGGGAAAATCCCCACTGGTAATTCAGGGATGTCTTGGTTAAACACTACCTGTATTCATGGCACAAAAAATCAAACCAAGATTGGTGCCTAAAAAGCTGCTGGAAACAGCAATGACTTGGTAATAAACAGCAGCTAACACCATCCACCATCCCCTCCACCTCCAGATGACAAAGTCAGGTCATACACTACATCTCCTTAAAAACGATGATATGATACTTGTACAAATATAATGTATTCTTGGTTTGAAGAAATGTTCAATGGCTATGGCTAAAATGGCTAAAATGTGTTGCATTTGTGACTTACTAAGCTTATTAACAGTGTGCTGAATTATTATGTAACTATCACCACCATGTTTTAGTCTGTAAGTTCACTGATAGGAGTCCTGTTTTAACCCTAGCTTGGACATACAGTTATTCAAAAAACATTTCTGCAAGGAAAGTGCAAAGGTGATAAACCTAGCTAAAAATGTCTCCATAGCTCTGTTAGTTGTCACTTTATTGCAAACTCAGTACTTTTATCCATGTTGGGATCCTGTAAGGATGATGACTGAATTTTTCTAGTGATGTGACTGATTCATAGTAATGTTGTTGACAAGTTTTTATCTGATCCTCTGAAGTTGACCTGCTATGGAGCAGGTTAGCCCTGCAGCATAGGTCACTATGGTGATGTAACACAGTTCGCATTGAGTTAGCTTTCTGATACTGGAAAATCTAAAGGGGAACTACACCCATTTTCTGTTCCATAGACACTGAATTGGGAAAGATGTAGATGACACTTAGAGCACCCATGGAAATATTCTGAGTTTATGGGTACATTCAACACATTCTCATTGCAACCTTGTCACATATTGACATTTAGACATAGACTTTGCACATCAACATATGACGTGCAAGGTACCCTGGATGCCTTGGTTGTTGACATGTAACATGCATTCAATCAATCAATCAATTTTATTTATAAAGCCCAATATCACAAATCACAATTTGCCTCACAGGGCTTTACAGCATACGACATCCCTCTGTCCTTAAGACCCTCACAGCGGATAAGGAAAAACTCCCCAAAAAAAACCCCTTTAACGGGGAAAAAAACAGAACAAACCTCAGGAAGAGCAACTGAGGAGGGATCCCTCTTCCAGGACGGACAGACGTGCAATAGATGTCGTACAGAACAGATCAGCATAATAAATTAACAGTAATCCATGTGACACAATGAGACAGAGAGAGAGAGAGAGAGAGAGAGAGAGAGAGATGCAGGTAATGACAGTAGCTTACAACAACATTAATGAAAGTAATAATATTATAGTTATAGTTCTGGCTACTGTGGTACAATATGTTGAAAGTATGTATTAATATCTGACAGTATACTTGTGTGACAATAGTCATATGTGTATAATAACAGTAGAAGTATGACTAATGACTAATGATGGCAGCAGCAGCAGGAGGCATCTGGCAGGACCACGGCAGCAGCACAACCACACACGTCACACTGTCCAGGCACCGCTGCGGTATGAGTTATTCTGAGAGACAGTGGAGCACAAAGGCTCCGGAGAAGAAGCCGAGTTAGTGACATCCAGAATGGCCGAGTTAGCAAGATGCAGTAATAGGATGAGAGTGAGAGAGAGAGAGAGAGAGAGAGAGAGAGAGAGAGAGAGAGAGAGAGAGCCCGGTGTATTATAGGGGGTCCTCCGGCAGACTAGGCCTAAGTCAGCCTAACTAGGGGCTGGTACAGGGCAAGCCTGAGCCAGCCCTAACTATAAGCTTTATCAAAGAGGAAAGTCTTAAGTCTAGTCTTAAATGTGGAGACGGTGTCTGCCTCCCGGACCGTAACAGGAAGATGATTCCACAGGAGAGGAGCCTGATAGCTGAAGGCTCTGGCTCCTGATCTGCTTTTGGAGACTTTAGGGACCACGAGTAACCCTGCGTTCTCAGAGCGCAGTGTTCTGGTGGGATAATATGGCACTATGAGCTCTCTAAGATATGACGGAGCTTGACCATTTAGAGCTTTATAAGTTAACAGTAGGATTTTAAATTCAATTCTGGATTTTACAGGGAGCCAGTGCAGAGAAGCTAAAACAGGAGAAATATGATCTCGTTTCTTAGTTCCTGTTAGTACACGTGCTGCTGCATTCTGAATTAGCTGGAGAGTTTTTAAGGACTTACTAGAGCTACCTGATAATAGAGAGTTACAGTAATCCAGCCTTGAGGTAACAAAAGCGTGGACCAATTTTTCTGCATCTTTTCGGGTCAGGATAGGCCTAATTTTCGCAATATTACGCAGATGAAAAAATGCAGTCCGTGAGGTTTGCTTTAAATGAGAATTAAAAGACAAATCTTGATCAAATATTACTCCGAGGTTTCTTACGGTAGTGCTAGAGGCCAGAGCAATGCCATCTAGAGAAACTATGTCATCAGATAAAGAGTCTCTGAGTTGTTTGGGGCCAAGAACAATAACTTCAGTTTTGTCTGAATTTAACATCAGGAAATTGGTGCTCATCCAATTTTTTATGTCTTTAAGGCAGTTATGGAGTTTAGTTAATTGATTACTTTCTTCTGGCTTCATCGATAAATACAACTGTGTATCATCCGCATAACAATGGAAATTTATAGAGTGATTTCTAATGATGTTACCTAAAGGAAGCATATATAGAGTAAATAGGATTGGTCCGAGCACAGAACCTTGCGGAACTCCAAAACAAACTTTGGTACGTAAGGATGATTCATTACGAACGTCAACAAATTGAAAACGATCAGATAAATAAGATTTAAACCAGCTTAGTGCTGAACCTTTTAGGCCAATTAAGTGATCCAGTCTCTGCAGTAGAATTTGATGGTCAATTGTGTCAAACGCCGCACTAAGATCTAATAAAACAAGAACAGAGACGAGTCCTTTGTCTGAAGCAATCAGAAGGTCATTTGTAATTTTAACTAGAGCTGTCTCAGTGCTATGATGCACTCTAAATCCTGACTGAAATTCCTCAAATAAATTATTATCCTGGAGAAAATCACACAGCTGGTCTGCGACTACTTTCTCAAGGATCTTTGACATAAAGGGAAGATTAGATATTGGTCTATAGTTGGCTAACACCTCTGGATCCAGGGTGGGCTTTTTTAGGAGAGGTTTAATTACAGCTACCTTAAAAGACTGTGGTACATAGCCTGTTAATAGGGATATATTGATCATATCTAATATATGAGTGTTAACTAAAGGAAAGACCTCCTTAAGTAGCCTAGTTGGGATGGGGTCTAAGAGACACGTTGATGATTTAGATGAAGAAATCACTGCGGTCAATTCTTGAAGAGAAATTGGGGAGAAGCAATCTAAATATATATTAGATTCTACAGCTGTGTTTGAGGTTAGATAGGTAGGCCTACCATCTGAGGGCAGGAGGTCATGAATTTTGCCTCTAATAGTTAGAATTTTGTCATTAAAAAAGCTCATAAAATCATTACTGCTAAGGGCTAAAGGAATACAAGGCTCAATAGAGCTTTGACTCTCAGTCAGCCTGGCTACAGTGCTGAAAAGAAACCTGGGGTTGTTCTTGTTTTCTTCTATTAATGCTGAGTAATAGTTTGCTCTGGCATTGCGGAGGCCCCTCTTATAAGTTTTGAGACTGTCTGTCCAGATTAAACGAGATTCTTCCAGTTTGGTTAATCGCCAATTCCTTTCAAATTTTCGCGATATTTGTTTTAACCTACGGGTTTGAGAGTTATACCAAGGAGCAAACTTTCTTTGCTTTGTTAACTTCTTTTTAAGAGGAGCTACAGAGTCGAGCGTTGTTCGCAGCGAGCCTACGGCGCTATCAACAAAATGATCAATTTGGGAGAGGTTAAAGTCGGCACGGGAAACCTCTGTTACTGAAGGTATTGGTATTGAATTTAACGACGAAGTAATCTTTTCCTTAAATTTTGTGACAGCACTATCTGATAAACATCTAGTATAGTAACTGTTGCTGAGTGGCGTGTAATCGAGTAAAAAGAAATCAAAAGTAATCAGATAATGATCTGATAGCAAGGGATTCTGTGGAAAGACTTTTAGGTTATCAATTTCAATTCCATACGTCAGAACTAGATCGAGGGTATGGTTAAAACAGTGAGTGGGTTCATGTACACCCTGACTGAAGCCAATGGAGTCTATTAATGAGATAAACGCGGTAGCCAGGGAGTCATTAT